TATGCTAGTACTTGGGATTATTCATCTAAGATGATATTTCCATACATTTTTTTTTTCATACTGACCTTTGGGACACTGTGACTAGAACAGCTTCATGAATTGATGAGTCTATATTATTCACAAAAGCTTTTTTAAAAATTAATACTATTTATTATTTATTGGTCTTTTTGAGACAGGGTCTCCCTGCAACCCCAGCTGGCCTGGAACTTGCTATGTAGACTAGGCTGGCCTCAAACTCACAGAGATCTGCCTTTCTCTGCCTCCCAAGTGCTGGGATTAAAGGCATGTGCCATCATGCCTGGCTAAAATTAATACTATTTTAAAAGTAGTATTTAACTCACCAGTGCAAACGTTTTTAGTGTAAAGTGTAACTATTTAACTGATAAGTTAAAAGCTCTAGGGTTTTCACTTTAATTTTCTGTAGTTTTAGTAAGTTATATTTTAAAATAAAATTTTGTATTTCATCTAAATTTTTAAATTTTGACAAAATTATTCTTCATATATTTTCCTTTCATTAATTTTAGGACCTGTAATAGTGTCTCATATTTCATTCTTGACATTATTTTCTTTCCTTTTAGTCTTGATTAGTCTCACTAGTTTATCAACATTAGTGTTTCTAAAGCAACAATTTTTAATAACTGTTGGTCCTAAGCAAGCAAGTATGGACAATAGTCAGCAATTTAGGACCACACTTCAGACAAGGCGCCTAACAACTTAGGATCCCCACCTGCATGCATCAAGCTGCAGGCACATCTCACTCTGAACAATGGAATAAGTTTCTTCTCCTCTTGACAATCATCAAACTTAGATTCTATTTAACTGTACTCCAGTTACATCCAGATAGGTGAGCAGGGAAGGGCGTCGATCTGGCCTTGACTAGTTTTATGTGCATGCACAATAAGGCAAACTGTATCCTCTAAGTGACCTTGTGGGAGAATCCCCTATTTACCATCTTATACCTATGTATAATTGGATATGTGTATAAGGAATGTGCAGTGAGCAAAAGCTTCTGTAATCCAAGCCTGTTAACCAACCTAATCTATACAATATACACCTGTTATCTGTGTTCACATTCTTTTTAAAATATTCTTTTTTATTTTATGCATATGGGTCTATTATCTGCATGTAGGTAGGTGTACCTGTATCGTGCAATGCCCATGGAGGTCAGAAGAGGGCATAGGATCCCCTGGAACTGGCATTAATAGTTGTGAGCAGCTATGTGGTTGCTAGGAATCAAATCTGGGTCCTCTGCAAGAGGCAATATACTCATATACATAAAATATTTTTAAAAGGTACTACTTTAGCTTTATCCAGACAGTTCTACACAAAGAAATTATTTCAAAATAAGATATATATAAAAATACATATACTGGAGGGCCACTGAAATGGCTCAGTGGGTAAAGGCACTTGCTGACAAACAAAATGGCCTGTTTGAGCCCCAGGTCCCATATGGTGGAAGGAGGGAATCGACTCCCAAAATTGTGCTATCTTCCGATCTCTACATGCTTGTGCGCGCGCACACACACACACACACACACACACACACACACACACACACTAAAATAATAAATGTAATTTTTAAAATGCTGGAATGCCATGCCATGAAGTTATAAAAATATAATATTATGAAAATGGAACCAAGATAAAATGTAAAGTAAAAATACAGTGCAATATGAATTACCCCAACTCTTGGTAAAAATGTGGTGGGGTGGATGAGGTTAGGTAAAATGGTGACTTCTTGCAAAATTACGTACATTTTTCAGTCTCATAACCACTTATTCTACTTCTTTTTTGTTTGGTGGGGTTTTTTTTTTTGGTCTGAGACAGGGTCTCCCTGTAGTCCCAGCTAGCCTGGTACTCCCTATGTAGACCAGGCTGGCCTTGAACTCACAGAGATCCGCTGCCTCTGCCTCCCAAGTGCTGGGACTAAAGACATGCACCACCATGCCCAGCTTATCCTCAAATAACATCTTACATGGGCAATTTATAAGTGAAAGTAAGTTAAAAGTCATAAAAATTCAAAGTCTGTAATGCTGAAATTTGGTAGCAACATAACAAATAAATAATAAATAAATAAAATGTTGTTTCATGAGCTTATATGACTTAAAGAAGGGATGGGGAAGACAGAAAGGCAGTCTAGGCAGGGATCAACAGAAAGGCTCACAACAAAGTAATGCTTTTATTTGCTCACTTACCATCACAAACAAAATGACATCACATTTCACACTATTGCTTTTACTTAAAACTCAACTGCTTTATGCAAATTAGACAGAAATTAATTTAAGCTGCCAACCAGTACTTTTTCCCTCCAGGGAACGCTACTGCTTAAATATTTTGTCAGTACTTTAACAAAAAGAGAATCACTCTATGAAAGTAATGTAGTGTTGGGCTTACCTGTATTACATTTTAAATGTTTTCTAATCAAAAACTGAAGACAGAAAAAAACAAAGTCATGATTTCTCTCAGAGTATTACCAATTCCATTAGCCTTCATTTAAAAACGCATTACGTGCAGTGGTTCATAAATATGAAAATGGCAATGAGCTGCCCCAGACGTGTTCATAGCGATTTAAAGTAGAACATTTATCCTGAGACATCAGCTGCTGGTCTCTAGTCATGATCTCAAGAACACCCTTGTCCTCCAGGGCAAACACCCTCTTTCTGCTGCAGAAATGAGCACCCATTTTTCACACTCATACAATGCTTTTCCTCTGAGCAAATCTTTAATCAATTCTATTTCACTGAATGTTTTCAAATAACAGAAACAGAATCTGAACAGTGACAAACACGGAAGGAAGAAGAACACATCCAAGTTGTAGAAAAATACATACAAATCCAAGTAGTCCTTAAAATAGAAAAAAATCAGGATGGCCATTTTTAAGAAAATGATTGTTTTCTAAACTGTAAATGGTGCCAGTTTAAGATATACATTTTTATACCTAGTTGTATTGCCACATTTATATACAAAGAAGCTGGCCTAGGTCAGTGAGTTCCCATTTCTTCCATTTTTTAAAAGATTGTCTTTCAGAATATTGAGCTGTAAATATAACTATTTTTATGCTGCTCTTGTCACTGGTACATTTCTTCAACCTGACACACATAAAAATACACTGCCACATAGATTCCACTTTAGTGATGCTAAAACTAACATAATTTTCCCTCTACTTCAATGCCATTAAAGTCTATTGCTATGTTGACATTTTTACTAACTACAGACACAGGTAAGATTCCAAAAATGGATTTTTAAAGCTACATAAAACTCCAAAACCTATGTTGAAAGCAAGAGAAAGTAAGAAGACAGAGCAATGGAAAAGTAGAAAGACACAGGCAACAGCCACACTGGCCCTCTCCTGTGTGACACTAACATGTCAGCGGAGGACCCATGTTAAAATATTTGAAATATACAAATACAGGTGGGTTTAAAGAATGTAATAGCAAGTAACCTTTATAAGGACATTTTCTTAGCATAATTACTTGAAATCTCCCCCTGAAAACATTTTTTATTAAATACATAAATATTTAAATCAGTTCAAGATCTTGGCTGTTGAAAGATCAAAATACAAAGACAAATATTTTAGGACAAAAATTAAAGACAAACACAACTGCTTTCCATGGAAGAATTACCACTGTAATACAATGAATATCAATGGTTACCACATGATCAACAATTCATGTATGATCCTTGGTAGGATTTTGCTAAATAAACCTCAATGGTAGAAAAGAAAATATTTTTCAAAAGATGAAATTACTATATTCCCAGGGCTGGCAAGTTCCCCATAAGAAATCAAGTTATCAAATTCCTGTAATATTGAAAAACTAAATTCTTTCTAATATGATAAAATGAACCAACTTTTAAAGTGTTTCGTCTTATTTAAGAAAAACTATTTTAGCCCATGCCATTTAATACATGTGCTGTACAACACCTCATCTGTTATTTTCCTACCAGACATTCCTTACTGCTCTTCTCTGTGACACATTTGAAGATGTGAGCAAATTATTGAAAAGTACCAAGACCTCCTCTATCCTACATAAGCTAGTCTTTAAACCATGATATTAAAAGATGTGCAAAGTATCATCACATTTTAGATTAAATTATGATTTTTGAACTGGTTTCCACAGGATTTAAGTAGTGTTTAAATCAGATGAGCTTTCTTATCTTTAGGCTTTAGTTTTTCTCTGAGGACAAATGTCTAAAATACACAAGTTATTCCATCAGAAATTCATCACATGTAATCCTCAACAGTACTTGCTGCCCTCCTGAGAATTTTGGAGAACAGAACTATACAAAAAGCACAGTCATGATCCCAAGCTACTGTGGCATCCCACAGCCTGCTAAGCCAGGTCCCACATCAGTACCAGGAAACACCACAGAGTCAAACAAAGTCAAAGCAAAGAGAAGCAACAGTGAACAGTGAGTCAAACTTAACTAATGATGTTTAACTAAGATTTTTTAAAAGCTTTAAGTTTTTTTCTTGTGCAAGTTTCAAAGAGAGTTTCATTTTAAAAGAAATTATCTTTTGAATACAATCAAATTTTTCTTAGCAATGCATCTCCTTTCATAACACATTCAGGTAGGTACACAGCAAGGCTTTAAGGAAGGCTCCTTCCATAGCTGCCAACAGCAAATACTAAGCATTAGTAAAATGCCTTGAAACTGAATAACACTTCTCTAAAGTGTTACTGAAAACAAAAAGCTAGTCACCAATACTGCCATTCTCTCATTTTGTTTTATGTTCAATAATCAGAGAAACCAAAAGGCAGGCCATGATTCAACATCCTCTTTGACAATCCACGCTCTCCCTGCAACTGAGGAAGGGACATTAAGACCAGTGACGGAGATGCGAAGAAAGCTTTAAGGGGCTATTTGGAACTAATTAGCCTAGAAACAAAAAGACAAAGCAAAGTTAAAAACAGCCATTTCCAGACTAAACAACAATCTTGAAGCTTTGAATATGATACCAACTTGAGAGTTCCAACACATAAAAATGAGGATGATCTGTGCACATTTTAATCAACCAATTGCTATAAATATCTGATTTATACTTTTACATTAACGGGCTAAATCCCAAGTTCCAAACTGTAGTTCACGTGACTCCAGAAGGGATCTTTGGAAGGATAAGGTACCTTTGGAGAACAGTGTATAAACAACTGTAAACATACACTGATTGTCCACTAGCTTTCTTAAATAGAATTTCTGAAGTATTTTCGTAGGAAATTATATATGAGTGTAGTTGATCAGATAATTTCTATTACAGCATATAAATTCTGTTGTGTGTGCAAAATGTGGTAGAAATAGAAGATACTATGGATGGTCTATGTTTTTAAGGTGAGTGCCACATTGCAATCCATTAAGAGTCCTTTAATCTTTTCATGAAACTTCTCTCTGTACAGGTTGAAGTACATAATGCTTTCTGGTTCTTCTTCAAACCAAAACTTGTCAAATTCGTAGACAAGATAACCTGCAGTTAAAAATAAAAAACATACTGACTTCAGGAATGAAATCACATCAAACTATCACATTTTTAGAAAGTATACAATCATTTTGGGCCAGCAAGTTGACTCAGTGGGTAAAAGCACTTGCCATGCAAGTCTGACAACCTGAGTTCAATGCCCAGAACTCCTATAAAGAAACCGACAAACACAAAAGTTGTCCTGTGACCTCCACAGGCATGCCACGGCACACTTGCCACTCCAACCTCCAATCATACACCACAGTAACAAGTAAATAATTTACAAGAAACGAGTATATATCGATCCTTAAATTCCATATCAGGTACAAGTGAGATGGCTGAACAGGTTACAAATGCTTGCTGCAAAAGCCTGATGACCTCAGTTCCTCGAACCCACATACATGTAGAAGGAGAGAGCAGACTACCACAAGCTGTCTGACTTCTACATCTGTTCTGTAGCACATGAGTACACACACACATGCACGGGTATGCACACATACACACACACATAGTCACAATAAACAAAATACAGTTTAAGAAATTCCACAGACTATAATATCTGACCTTAAAACTACTAGGAATCTGTAAAACTTTAAATCCTTTTAGGCCCAAATAAATAGCCAATTCAATAAAATATTTACTGGACATCTACTGTGTCTCCAAAATGCCAATAAATCTCTCAAACTTTAGAGATGCAGTATTCTGAAGATACCTCTAGAAGAGGAAAGGGTCTATGAGACGCTGAAGAATGAGGTGAAGCACCAGGAAACTGGGCGAGGGGAAAATCAGGGAAGCGCCTTTCCTCGGGATTTTTATTTATTTTTTTAAAATTTTAGTTCTGCATGTTTATTTTATGTATATAAGTGTTTTATCTGCATGTATGTAAATGCATTCGTGCCATGCAATGTCTATAGAGGCCAGAAGAGGGTGTCAGATCCTTTGGAACTAGAGTTACAGATGATTGTCAGCCACCAAGTGGATACTGGGAACAGAAACCAGGTCCTCTGAAAGAGTAGCCAGTGCTTTTAACCCCTGAGCCATCTCTCTCTCCAGCCCTGACTCAGGATTTTAAAATCTAAACCTTGTTTCTTTTTTTTTCCTTCAATAAACTATTAGCACTTTGTCTTAAAAACAGATGACCTCTAATAGGCATAATATTTTTATCTTCATTATAGAAGCCAAATAAATTATGAAAGCATTTGAAGTACTTCATGAAATTAAACATGTACATGTGTAGACATATATGTATGTGTATATATATATATGAATTTATATGTTAATTTGTGGTACTGGGGACTGAACCTAGAACTTCATGCACCCTAGGCAAGTGCTCTACCACTGAGCTATAGCCACAGCGAGGGGCTATAAGCCCCAACAGATGCTGGGAATCTATTGTCTAGCAGTTTCCTCTGAACTGAAACATGCCTGGGGGGTGGGGGGTTCCCTAATAAGTCTCAAAAGGTAAACAAAAGGTCAGGTCATGGAGAACAGAAACTTGGAAGATTCTGGAGGGCCCCTCCCAGCAGCACAAAAAGGAGTGAACAAATGCTGGGGGAAGAGACTCTGACCAGCCAGGCTGCAGAGGCAAGATTTCTCCTGTGGTGGAGCTGCCTACAAGCTGTGCAGAGAGCTCCAGGTTTGCAGCTTTCATCACTGTTGGTGCTGAGGTGGGGTTTTTGGAGATGTATACTTTAGAGCCATCCCTATTCCTCTAAATAACCCCTCACTCAGACTCCTGTTAGTAACCACAATAAAAACTCGTGGTTTTGGGCCTTCACCATCTTGGGCCACTGCCCAATATAGGAAGGAAGCCCACCTGTGCCCATACCTTTCTGTGTCCAGATGCTCCGGAAATGGTTTGGATGAACAGAGAGAAGCCTGCAGCCTGTCCTGTCTGCTGTCCCTGCTCATTTCTGTGGTCCTTAGAGCTGCTCTCAAATATTCTAATTTTCCTTCCTTCTTAGAACAGGAATCATACTGGTCACCTCTGGATGATCGAGAACTCCACACCACTGAGGCTAATTAACCAGGATTGACTCTCATATGGGAAATAGAAAGACATTATGACATGGACAGTTCAGGCTGAGAGAGGATGAGTGATGCTGTCAAGGGCTCAAACCTCTTGGGCTTTTATGGTTATAATCTCTCCTAGGGCTCCCTCCTTGCTGAGAGCTGAAATTGATGAGCCCCAGGCTTGCAAAAGGCAGATGTCCAGAGCTGGATCATCCAGTTCAGCAAATATTTAGCAAAGACCAATGTCTAGCCTAAACTTGGTCTCGCTGTGTTATTTTCCTGACTGGTCCTTCTTTACGAGATTTCAAGGTTGCTGTGCCTATTCATCCATTTTTCATTTCATGAATCCTTCAATCATATTTTCTCAGGCTCATTTCACTATTTCAATGCCTGGGCCCTCCAAGCATACTTGTAATTCTTAAAGTAAGAATAGTTTTTAATTGATCTTTCCTGTTCTTCACCGTGAGGTGATACTAGAAAATGAAACATGAACCCCTCTTTCCTGCAGGCATCTGGCCCAGAGTTTAATTACCTGAAAAAAAAATCATTATCTTCTTCCCAGGGTTGATTGTAGTATAATCTCTAATATTAAAGTGTCATTGTAACAATTCAAGGGAATGCTCGGGTTAGTGGCCACTACTGTACCAGTAGAGTGTCATGTCATATAAATAAAAATAGCTAGAAGAGAGGATATGAATGTTCTCTGAACAAAGAAAGGATGCGTGTTGGTACTGACGGATAATCTATATCCTGAATCGGTCATTTCACAGTATGTGTGTCATAACACCACACTGCACTCCGTGAATGCAGGCAATTATTACCTGTGGGCTAGTTTAAAAAGTAAGAAAGCATCATGGATGTGTTCAAATCACCTGCGGTAAAATCTGGGGGACATTTGAAAGCAATTATACGTAATTTAACAACAAACTCTCAAATCATCCAGGTGGTCAGCCAAAGCACACATTGTTATTCTTTCCATCTACAGGAGAATCATTTATTTATTAAGAAAAAAAGATAATTATGAGCCTGAGTATTGGGACCAGTGAGTTTCAAGTTAAGTTACTAGGGCCTCATTGACCATATGAAATCATCTTAACACCAGAGAAGAGAAAATACACTGCAAAATCTTTCTACTGTTTTTATTTAAGAGCTCTTATTTTAAAAAATAATATAAAGACTTAAAAAAAAAAACTCATGACTTCACCAAAGTGGACACTGGTACTGTCACTACTTTGGTCTGACAGGAGTTCCCTATCTGGGGTGAGCAGACATGTGTACTGCATCTCCCAGGAAGTCTATCACACAGAAGGATCAAACCCAGGGTCTTATGCATGCTAGGCAAGCACTTGAGGTAGCCCTGAGCTACATGCCTGCCACCTCTATACCCAATTTTGCTTCAACTAAAGGTCTTTGCTATATTCATCCTTATCTCACCTTCCCTCAAAACATGCCCATGATTTATGGAAGATGCTGTTTCCCATTTTATCAAGGAGGAAACAGGTGCAGAGAGGCCAAATGGTATGCTCAAATCACAGTCTATAAGTGCTTCTGTTATCTTATAAAATGGATTTGTTTCCATAAGAATCTCATTGCCCTCTTCTATAAGGCTTTTTTCAAAAAGGAATGAAAAGTCACTAATTTTACCTAAACAGGATGGAAAAGCCAATAACTTGACAAAGTGTGGCCAAGTGATTACAATTGCCTAGTCTGAGCAAACAACCACCACCGCCCCTGGAAATTCCACTTTAATAAGATGGGCCATAAACCGAATACTCAGTTAGAAACCAGCATATTTCAATGCCAATATTAATTCACAAGGCAGTTTTCAGATTAGTTTCTTGATATGTGGTAAAATGGATTTTTGTCAACCAGGAATAATGAGAATACCCCAAAACAAAGCCTCTGGAAAAATACCATCTGTTTGTTGGTTCCAAAAGATGGGCTGAGAATGATCATCTTTCAATGACTTTAAAGCATTATCTATCTTCTAGCTTTATTTAACTAAACATTTGTTTTGTGCGTACCTTAGGACGACAGAAGATGGACAGAAACTACCTAGAAGAACACAAATGGAGCCTGCACTTTCCCTAATCCCCACGTGCAGTCCCCTGATAGACAAATACAGTAAAACAATTTGCAGGTTAACATTCTAGGTAACAAAAGAAATTGGTTTATGGTATACCATTTGTTTGAGCATTTCTGGCCATGAGGTTTTGGCTACTTTCCCATCTTATGTTCTGAAAGCTACTTTTACAGAGGACTTCACAGGCCAAGAGCAAGCTGTTCAAATACCAGAAACTTCCTGTTTCAGAATCAAGGTGCTGGTGTGTGGCGTATATCAGTGTCTAAGAAAGACCTGGAAGTACTACTGAGTGAGACTACAATAGCTAAACTGATTTAAGGAGATGCCAGAATCTGAAGGGGAAAATGCTGTGGGATTCTAGGAAGGCCACAGTCATCCTTGGTCAAAGACCCCAAGTTTTGCAGAAGGTTGTGGAAATCATTTCTATAAAGCACACATCTTGCCCTTAGTCTCTACGAAGTTAGAATCTGTAGAAGTCACCGTACAAAGTTTCTACACTTAAAATTTCTTGCAAATTTCTACTGTAGGAATTAAAAATAAGGAAAACATAGAAAGGCGATTAATGGTAATCAGCATAAGTCATACTAGTGTTAACAAAAACACTGTAAAATTGGATAACGGCAGCCTCTTAATAAGTTTAGGGAAGCTTACTGAAATATTCACTTTAATTAAAATGGGTAAATTTTATGGTACATAAAAATTCTTTGATAAATTTGTTTTTAAGACATAACTTTTTGGTTATAAAAACTTATGAGGATATTTTTGGGGACCATCAATCACAAAGTCCTGTTAAAAACCAAGACCCTCAAAAAATAGAAGGGAGATCCAGCAGAAGTTAGTCTCTAGAAGACAGAGACTCTGAGACCTGAGCCCCTGGCTAGATGTGCAGCCAGCAGCTTCCCAAGCTAAGGGTGGGCACCTGCTCCAAGGTTAGATGCTCCAAAACAATGGAGCCAAGCTTATTCCTACTCAATGTTCCCAACCTTTCCTATAGAACTGAGTAAACAAAGAAAAGGCCAGAAAACAGAGAAAGGAGGATAAAGGTACACTGAAGAGAAATGAGGAAGTGTGAGAAGAGATCTTTTCACAACTCCTTCTCCTGGAGAGACAATGACCTGAGAACTAATTTGTGAAAGCTATCTGGCCCACTCCTCCAACAGAAACAACAAAATGCCCATGTGCTCAAAAAAAGGTTTCAAATTATCATTCTAGTGAAAGTGACTTCCTTTAAGAAAAGCAGAACCTTAACTAAGACATGAAACTTCTACTGACAAAGGGTGTAAAACTCATTTTTTAAAGGGGGGGGGGCAAGAAAGAAGAAGAAAGAAAGAAAGAAAGAAAGAAAGAAAGAAAGAAAGAAAGGAGAAAGGAAAGAAAGAAAATGAAGAAAGAGAGAAAGAAAGAAAGAAAGAAAGAAAGAAAGAAAGAAAGAAAGAAAGAAAGAAAGAAAGAAAGAAAGAAAGCTATAGAAAGACAGAGAGGGAAGAGAGAGGGAAAAGATAAAGTCAGAAAGAGAGGGAGAGACAGAGGAACAAAGACTCTCAACTCAGGAACTACTTCTAACATACTGATTGGTGGGATGCCAAGTGGGGCATTTTCTTGATTGCTAGTTGGTATCAGAGGGGGTGATGCCATTCCTAGGCATGAGGGCTTGGGCTATGTAAGGCAGATGAATAGCAGCCTGGAGCAAACCAGTAAGCAATGTCCCTTGGTGGTTTCTGCTTTGAGTTCCTGCCCTGAGCTCCTGCCCTGGCTTCCCTCAATGATTGATAGACTGTAACATGTAAGCCAAAATGAATGTTTTCCTTACCAAGTTGCTTTTGGTCATGGTGTTTATCACAGTAACAGAAAGTAAACTACAACAGTTAACAAGATTCAGATTACACAGAGCCTTGTACTGGGATTCCCAAGGAATCATACACAGGGGGAAATGACCTATTTTCACTTAAAATAACTAAAAAGTTGGCAGAGTGTCAGCATACTGAAATTAGCTACAAGTGAACACAGAAACTTAGCAGCAAAGGCCTGATGATGTAACAGTTACTAAGGGGAGAAAAAGCACCAAGTGCAAGAGAAATTTAGGAAGTACACAAAAGTGAAGGGATGACCCAAAGGCAGAAGTTATGGCAAAGACATGGATGACGATCTCAACAGGGGTTGAAGGTATGACTTGGCCATTCATTACCTAAATAGTTTCCAATATTCTACCAAACGCAAATGGCATTCTGAAAACACATAAATATAAAGAAAAGTAGAGTGTGAACCCAAGCTATATTTTAATTTTTTTACCTTGAGCAATAGCTTTAGAAGACTGAATCATCCAATTAAGCCCTCAGTGTTCAAATGCCATTATGGTAAAAGTTAAACAGGACAGTAGTAACTCCTTTTAGAACAGCGAGGCATCCCAACCACTACATTTTGAGAAAAGGGAGCTGAAAATTTCCTTTAAGTTCATTTTAGTTTTTTGCTTATGTATGTGTGTATGGTATACAAGGTATGAGTTCCCACATATGTGGGCACATGTGTATGGGGAAGTGCATGTGCACGTGGGGGGGGGGCTGAAGTTAATGTCCAGTGTCTTCCACAGTTGCGTTCCACATTCTATGAGACAGGCTCTCTTACTGAATCCAGAGCTTGCCAATTCCAGTTAGTCTGGCTAGCCAGCCTGCCCCAAGGCTCCCATCCTGGCCTTCCAGGCACAGCAGATCCCGCTGGCTGTTACATGGGTTCTGGGGAGCCCAACACAGGCTCACATGCTTGTACAATAAGTGCTTTATCCACTAAGCCATCTTCCTAGTCTTTAATTTTCTTTATAAGAATGACAAAACAAACAGTAAATGGTCTATTCTCAATTCCACAGCATTCATTCATTAACCAGTACTCAAGAAGGAAAATTCATTTTGTAGTTGACTGAATAATGAATGTCTACAGAAAAGTTAAGCTAAATGTGCATTCTTGTAAAACAACTGTCTTGATAATCCTTTTTTAACCCCGAATACAGAAAGTAAAGTACAAAATACTCTTAGAGATCTACCGTCCGTCATTCTCCTGGATCCTGAAGAATAAGATGATAAGCACAAGCTTCTGCTTGCAGACATCAGGCTTTAACACAGATAGTCTGCCTTCTAGTACTTTAAAAACTGTCCTTGTCGGCTCTACTATGAATTCATTTCAATACTCACAGTAAAACTGGTGGAAGTGCTCCATTGTTGGTATCCCAGGAACAAAGTGGTAGAGATGAAGCTTCAAGGCTTCGCTCTTCAGTAAACTATAAGCCATCTCTGTAAGATTGATTCCAACTATTGCATAAGAATACCTATGTCAGAAACATCACCAGTTATACCAGCCAGCAATAGTATAAGATGTCAATTTTAAATTATGTAAGGGATTTACTAATTGACTAAAACTGGCTTTGTTTCATTTCTAACACAGTACTGACTTCATGATAATCTCTCTACACTAAGATAACCAGAATTTATTCAAAGCTATCACTTTTTAAAGACTGCTAATTTCTGGGTAGAAGCTAAGAAATAAAAATAAAGCTTTGTTCATATGAAGTTTAAAATAAGAGAATAACATTTAACAAACCATATTGGTTTAATTATTACGTTTTTTTTTTCAAAGATGATACCATCAGAATACAAAGCAATATAAAGCTAATAATATGACTTGAATTTTCTTTATAATTTTCAAAGCTAATTCTCATTTCCTATTTCAGTATTTTAGATTCCTATTTTCAAATATATTTCTCCAAAAAAGTTTATAGGAGCCCCTATCTCTATAAACCATATGTTGTGATAAGATTCATTAAAATATTAAACTTCTATTGATCATTTTTCCTTAAAAATAATGCATCACATAATATCCTTCGTGTAGTTATCATTAATTAGAACAGCCTAATTTTAAAATACATCTTGAAATGCCTTCTTCAAATTTACTCATTTTAAATGCAAGGGACTAGTTTCTTTAATGTTTAACCAGCTTACCCTAATTTTGGGTGATTTGAGCGGGAAAGAATCTGATGAGCTTCACTGGTATAATTTTCACTGAAATACCTAAAAAAGTTCAAAGAAAATAATGAAAAGTACACATCACTCAAGCTTAAGCTATCCAGAATCAGCTGCTGATGTCAAAAACGACAGCCTCCCAGAACCAGGATCATCCACCTCCATCTTAGATCACCTCAGTGTTTCTGAGCCAAAGTGAATCCTAAGAAATCCGGCCTATTAAGCAAAGAACACAGGTTGACAGGCTCTTGGCAAGCATTTTAACAAAGAAATCACTTTAAAAAAGGATTAGAAAAGAAAAATATAGTATTTTTTTTTTAGAGGTTGTTTTTTCTAGCTCTATACTCAAAATGAACTTTTTAGGACACTCTTCCTTTCACCTAGGTTACTTTTCCTGCTGTTAACTGAGTGGGTACTGTTTAATACCATCTTCAGTGCAAAACAAAAGAAGCCAAAAGCCTCCCTTTGCCCTCACACCCCCTCCAAACCAAACCAAACCACAACAACAAAAAACTTAATGTAACAAAAGTATTAGTAGTAGCCACAGAAACATAGAAAGCTATTTATTCATAGGTTCATACATTCTTCTGGTCCACACTGATGCAAAGTTTGAGCTCCTAAAGATAGGGCCAAGCTAGCTCCATGTCTGGCTCACCTTACAGTGCTCAGTGAGTGTGTGCACACATGATGAGGACAGGACACTGGCATATGGATTAGTATGATACACACACACAGTATATCTCCTTCCTCCATTTTCACTTCTACAGACTAATGTGATATACTTCCATTTTTCTCCACTGGCTTGAGTTTTAACCCATTAAACCAGGGGCTGTTAACTTAAAGCCCATCAATGAAGGTTCAGTTATGAATGCAGGGGAGGCCAGGAAGTCTTAAGCATGGACTTTGCACTGAGCACATTTTCTGGAGAGGGCACGTACACAGCTTTGTTCAGACTCTCAAGGGGTATTATAAACCCCAACTCAAAAAGAGCCTGCTTATCGCAGTGCTTTCCTAAGTACTTACCCCTTGGAAGGCTCTACAATACCCTTAAAAGACTGTTTATATTTAACATTTGTACACAATGTTCCTCATACAACTGTCATTAGCATTTTAAAATTGCAACTACTCTTAAAATACTCAATTTGTAACACAGAGCAAGTTTTATTTCCTTCAGCACTTGTCCAGGCATCCCTACCTCAGTGTCTAATTGTGAAGAGTAAGTTCACAGCACCTGTTACTTCTTTCCCCTTTTCACCCTGCCTTCCTACACGCATTCTTGGCCTTTACTCACAGATACTTTTACTTCTCTATTTCTTCGTTTACTCAGCTTTCTTCAGTATTCCTGGAATTCATTTTCTGTACAATATTCTCTCTTCTACATCACTTCCCTATTCATTTATAAAGCCATGAACTACTGTTCAAAGCAAGAAAGTATCAGATTACAAAGGCCTAGTGATGTGAAATGATAAACTAGGTATGGGTGTTTGCACAGCCTGCCTGTTCCTGGACTCTGTCTGGCTCCTGAAGTGTTCCAGCTCCATACAAAGGACAACAAACAACTCAGGAATCAGAGCTCTGTTTATGCTTCAGTCGCTTCCAACCCATTGTTACTAATATATGTGAATCCTGGCCAGTTTCACATCAGCTGGTACTTTCTTTGTTGTTTTTCTTTTTTGAGACAGGGTTTCTCTGTAGCCCCAGCTGGCCTGTTATTCCCTATGTAGACCAGGCTGGCCTCAAACTTACAGAGATTTGCCTGCCTCTGCCTCCCAAGTGCTGAGATTAAAGGCATTCACCATGCCCAGCTTCAGCTGCTACTTTTAACTACAAGGAAGACATCTGTGGTTCATTTAAAGGTTCACCAAAATTCCTCACCACAGCCTAGAGTCAAATCTTATTTAAACTTCAGGCTCAATTAAATTCTTTACTGATGGATGCTGAGAAATCATTTTTTATAATTTGATTCTTTAAAAATTACTATGCAGTTTATGCTTAGGAAACAATTAAATACAATTTATAAAAAGTTTACACAGCACCAAAAAACACATGCTTTCATAATTAAAGAAAATATTGAAATCTCACTATAGCACCTTCTATTTTCCCTCAAACAGCTTTATCTATATTGACCTAATTTTTTTTCTCAATATTAACTTAATTTAGCTCAATTTAAATTTTTTTCACATTATCCAATTTAACTGTTGGCTCTCCATTCTAAACATTACTTAGAGTATGTAAATTACAATCCACAGTCCATAGACTCACACCCCCTAATTTGTACATCTGCATATCTGTTTAAGAAGAAATCGATCTTGAAGTTTATTATCGAATCGTCTTAGTTATCAATTGTGACTTAAACTACATGTTTTGGGATTTCATGCATGTACCAAATCTATTGAAGGATAAAAAATGCAAGCTGTCACAGGTTCTCATTGGTGGGGGCGCACATCAGTTGCCACAGGTCATGAGGAACACCTTATCACCTTATCTCGTTTCCCCAAATGGAATCAGAGCCCATAAAGCAGAGACAAAAGGATGGGAACAGCAAAGAAGGGGGTGCAGAGTTCTTACATAGGTATCAGAAAAGTGCCAGAAGGAAGGAAAAGGGAAGCAATGGTAAATAATCAGACATGTACACGTCCACATGCAGGCACACACACGCACACGCGTGCACATGCTTCCAATCTTCATACTGTTGTCAGCACATAAAGTATGACAACTATAGCTATTACAATTTAGGGACAGTATGAAACAGCAAGGTCAGTCCTCATTAGCAAGACTAGAAATAGCATGTGATTTCAGTTAGCAAAGGAACTAAAACTCATGTTTACTTACACAAGATTGATTAATCCTAGTATGCCCATGCCTCTGAAGTCTGTTTTGGGATCATCACCCTGGAAACCAATGTCAGCCCACTGCTTGGAGATACGAGCCTTCAACTTCTTTGTGGGCATTAGAAGATTCCAAAGCTGCACAAACAGGTTCCCTTGTTACAAATAAAACTGATGCTCTTAACTTACCATGACATTTTCCTTCTCATAGCTTAATAACTAGCAACTGTATACTTTCAAGTAAACCACTTTTATATGCAAATCATAAGATCAACAGACCTTTCAGTTGCCCTTAAAAATGCAGCATATTTCAACCAAAAAGACTTATAGAGATTTTTTAAAGGGTACAAATGATATACAGAAATCTGAAGTGATAAGATGTCTTTGCTTACTAACACACAAATATTAGAACTAGAATTGCTTGAGAAGAAGACAGTATTAGGTAAATGACCAAGCATTCAACTTAAATAGGCTCTGCTATAATGGTGGATAATTAATCTCTAATCTAAAAAAAAAAATATGCCTGAGGGACAGGATCATGAAGAAATGATATCAGTAAGACTCAAGCTGTATCATCACCATTTTAGAAACTTTTAGTTTTAAAAGAAAAAATATGACTTGGTTTTAAATAAGTGTAATCCTTAACACTGAGAGTTTAAGAATAGCTATCAAATATATACCAAAAAACTGATCAATGAAAAATAGTTAAGAAAATTTAGTCATTTTCAAAATTCAATATAATAAGTCTCAAAGCAGTCTTATAGAAGTTGATTTTGGTTGGGGATTTAGCTCAGTGGTAGAGAGCTTGCCTAGCAAGCGCAGGGCCCTGAGTTCAGTCCTCAGCTCTGAAGGGGAAAAAAAAAGTGTAAAAATTTGGGGCTGAAGAGATAGCACGGTGGTTAAGAACACTGACTGTTCCTGCAGAAGACCCGAGGTCGAATCCCAGCACCCACATGGCAGCTAACAACTGTCTGTAACTCCAATTCCAGGGGATCCGACAGTCTCTTCTGTTCTCTGTGGGCATTGCACGACACGGAGGCACTTACTTACATGCAGGCAATACACGCATACACATAAAATAAAAATAATAAATAAAATATTAAAAAAGTGTAAAAAAAATTTACAAACAGAAATACTTGCATTTTACCCCATGTCATTACCATTTAAGGCATTGTGGAGTAAATGACTCCTAATGAAAGGCATATCCTGTCACTTAAATACAACTTGAAGGGCTGGGATTCTGGCTCTGACACTAAATCCAATGAGGTTGGACTTTGTCTAGCAAGGAGTTTGAGTACGCTAATATTAAGGCTTCGGAACGTGGAAAGCTGCATTGCAAAACCCATACCACACAATTTTTCTTTTTCTTTTTTTTTTTTTGTCTTTTTTTGAGACAGGGTCTCTCTGTAGCCCCAGCTGTCCTGGAACTCATTAGGTAGACAAGGCTGGGCTCAAACTCACAGAAGTCCACCTGCCTCTGCCCCAAGCTTGCTGGGTTTAAAGGCATGCACCACCATCCCTGGCTCTAATACCACACAATTTTGTCTGTTTACTGAGACAGGGTCTTGCTATATAGCCCAGGATGGTCTTAAATTCTCCATCCTCCTGATTCAATCTCCAAAGTGCTTAGATTACGAGTGTGTGCCATCACGCTCTTTCAATACTCAAAAAATAATATCCATAAGTATCATTTCTAGTCTCCACTCCTGAAGGTTCTGATTTCATAGGGTTAAGGTGTAAGTTTAGATCTAAATATTAAACACTGATTAAGGCTGGCTGGCGAGCATGGTCTTTGGACTACACTATAGTTGGTACAGCGGATTCCAGAGCTCTTTACCAGTAGGACTGCTGAGGAGTATGCTGGGAAATCCATGGCAGGCAAACGGGCATTCTACTATCAAAGCTGAATTTCATAATGAATTGCCAAGGGAAAAGTTACATAGACTAGAGTCCTAGGATTTGTATCTTATTCCTTCAGGAGGGAAAGTATTATGTCTGAAATTATCGAAAAAATGATGATGACGAGGAAAGAAATAGCAATTAATAATCCTTAATGAGTGTCTGGCATAATTTTAAACATTTTAAAACAAAAGCTGAATCCATAAAACAGCTCTTCATTAGTCTCATGGTAGAATAAAGTTTGATTATTTTTAATTTTATTTATTTTTTTATTTTATGTGTATGTGTGTATTGCCTGCATGTAGGTAAGTGCACCCGTGTCGTGCAATGCCTGCGGAGGTCAGAAGAGGCTGTCGGATCCCCTGGGACTGGAGTTACAGACAGTTGTTAGCTGCCATGTGGGTGCTGGGATTCGAACCCAGGTGTTCTGCAAGAACAATCAGTGTTCTTAACCACTGAGCCAGCCATCTCTCCAGCCCCTTATTTATTTTTGAATATTTATTATTTTTTATTTTATGTCTACAGGTATATTGCCTGCATGTATGTGAGTGCACCTGTGTTGTGCGATGCCATGGAGGTCAGAAGAGGGCGTTGGATCCCCTGGAACTGGAGTTAAGGACAGTTCTTAGCCGCCATGTGGGTGCTGGGAATAGAACCTGGGTCCTCTGCAAGAGCAGTAAGTGCTCTTAACTGCTGACCTATCTCTCCAGCCCTTTATTTTAATTTTGCAGCTAGGTGAAGTGTGCATGTTATACATTTCCTGGAAAAGGTTTTGTTGTTTTAAGTATGTTGCCATACTTAGACATTGTCAATGTTACTTTCCATAGTAGTTTTAGTTACAACTTCTAACTCCAAGTGCACCAGGCTATGTGCTTTAATGGTAATGGAACACACGTGCTAGGAAAGGGGAAAGGGAAATACTGGAGGTGGAAAGGTTTAAATAGGGCTGAGGAACAGGGAAACAAGGGAGAGGAGGGAAGAGGGGAGGGTCAGTCAGAACTAAGTATGAACACCTCATAAGGAAACCGCTACTTTAATGGAGGGGTTGGAGGAGGAACAGGAGATAGGGAGGGGCAAGAAAAAGGAGGAGAAGGAAGAGGAAAGGAGGAGGAGAGGAGGAAGGAGAAGAGAGGAGGGAAAGCAAAGAAAGGTGAAAGGGGAGCAAATGGAAGAAAGAAAAAAAAGACTTTTAACATGTTAAAATACAATGTGAGCAAGAGCAGAAAATGAGCAGGAAACAGCTCTCATCCAGGCCCTTTTGTTTTAGCACCTAAAGCAAATCACTTCATCTCCCTGGGCCTTAGAATCTTCATCCCTCAAATGAAGGGACTAGACTGGAAAACCTGTCAAGTTTTTCTCCAGGCCATTATCACCCTCACATGTGCATATGTCAGAAATAAAAAGCAGGAAAAGTTTTAAATAACTTTCTTTTTCACCTTCTTAATGTTTAGGTCTATTGTGGCATTATGTGTTAATTACATTGTATTAGTCCCAAAATATCTGGTGTAATAATTTGGAAAGGGACATGCATTCACAATTTGAAGAGCTGCTGAAAACTGTCAATATTATATGAGCAATTTAGATGAATGGGAAGATCTGTGGTCTGTGGACCCCAGGTTTTCCAGTTGAAGAGCTCTTTCATTATGGTATAAAAGCATTAAAATTTAACTTATTTGAACCTATTTTAAAGATGCTTATCAGATAAAAGCTGTTAATATTTCCCTATTAATGAAATCTAACATAAATTCTCTAAGAAACAACTAAACTGGGGGACCAAATGGGCCTCTGGAATTGTACAGACCTCTCTCAGCTGAAGCCCAAGTCACTTTTCCAGGAATCAGCCACTCTGCACAGAACCAATGCTTACCTTGAGAAGCAGTTTTTCATGCTGTGCATTGTCAGAATCATAGGGTTTCTTCCTCACATTTTCTATATCCAAGTAAAGCTGTTTATAGCCAGTTATCTGCAGTAAGCATGTTCTCATGCAGACTTTAAAACTGAAAAGATCAAAGTATTGTTTAAATCATTATCTCCTATTATAATAAAGCAATGCCTTCCACCGCCTATGGTTCATATAGCTATTGAGAAAGTGTTTCTTAGCTTTCAGTTTAACATAAGTACGAAGGGCCTCCTTAAACACCAAGGACTGTGCAGAGCATTACACAGGACTATAAGACGGGCTAGACAGAGGGCAAGATGTGGCAGCACTGACAAACTGCCATTACAAGGATTCACTCTCACATTTTCTCTGAGCAATCTAACACATTCCCAATTGTCAGGTATTACCAACATACCTAATTTTTTAAGTTATCTCAGTTTCCTCAAATACAACAGCCTATTTTCCCTGAAGAAATATCCTTTTAATAGCAAAACTCTAATCTATTTTTGACATCACTAATATAGTTCCCCAAGCTACAGCATTCTACCCTCATTCATCAATGCATCAGAAGACCTGATCCTGTCCCTGAATACCCTTCAAAACCAAGTCCTGATCCTGTCTCTGAAATACACTCAAACCAATCTTCAGGTCACCAATTCCTTGCTGGATTTATGGCTTTCTCATTTCTTACCTGAATGACTCGTCTCCTAACTGCTCTTATTACATCATGACATCAATCCTTCATCTTCCTTAAATACCTGGTAACACAGCTTAATTACTTATAACACAGAAGGCATCTAATCCCTTGGTGCATCGCACAAGCCCTTCAGTACACCTGTCAGCTATCTAGCAGGCTGTTTAGCTCCTACTGTGGAACAAGAGCACAGCACATACAGAACTCTCTCGTGCAGTGGGTTATGCAGGTCAGAAAGCTCCATGAGGACACAGCAGCACACCTAACTCACCAGACGGGTCAGGGAAGACCTTGCCTGTGGAAGGCAGAGAAACTGAAGGTTGAAGGACAAAAAGGGCAGTTGCCAAAGTTGCTTAACCTTCAGAGTAGTGGCACTGGATTGGGAGGGGTGGGGTTACCTAGGGACACAGGGTTTAGCCCTATGCCTGTCAACATTATTCGGAACCTCAATGCTCTTGGGATGAAGTGAGAGGGCTGACTTGGATCATGTCCACAAACATTCTCCGATACAGTTGAATGACTATTTAAGCACTCCACACCACGGGCTACAAGAGCAGAATCAAGAGAAAGAAGCATACCTGGCATCCTTCTCAGAGCTAATGTTCTTTTCCCTCATTATGTCTTCTACACATTTATCCAGTTCACTCTCAACAACCTGTGTTGCTTTCTGTAGTACCTAGTTATTGAAAAAAATCAGAGTGAGAAAAATTCCTAAGGGCTGATAAATATATTTTGAGGCATTTAATCAACTTTGCAAAGCAGATATTAAATTGTAAATGGAAACCAAATTTGCTTCAAAAGAGTTAAAAGCATTTGCATATTTTTGTTTCTTTTTAAAAGAATGTTTTTATTATTTTTGTTTTATGTGTTGTAATCATGCCAGCATGTATGTTAAGTGCACCTATGTCATGCAGTGCCCGTAAAGGACAGAAGAAGGCACTGGATCCCCTGGAACTGGAGTTACAGAAGGTTGTTAACCACATGGTGGATGCTGGGATTTGAACCCAGGTCTTCTGCAAGAGCAGCCAGCACTTTTTAGGTACTGAGCCATCTCTCCAGCTTGATATGTGTATACAGCATTTTTCAATATAATCATGTTATCTCTTACAGAAAGCAATGCTAATAAAATACTTTAAAATTTAAAAAAGAACACCCCCTGGTTTTGTGTTTCCAGATATTGTTGCAATGGATGCATGGCACTGCTCTTTTATGGCTAAACTTTTGTTAGGAACAGAGAGGAATAAGGATTTTTACTTTCTCAAACTGCATCATCTACTAATAAAGAGATTTTTACTTCTTTAGTCCAATTATGTCTCAGATTTCCTTTTCTTGTTTACTGCAGTCCCCAGGATTTCCAGTATAATACTGAATGAAAACAGAAAGAAGAAACATGCCTGTCACATTCCCAATTAAATGTGGAAAACACTCAATATGTCAGTGTTTTCTGTACTGCTGATTGCAGGCTTTCATTGGTATGGGACAGGTTGAGGGATTTTTGCTATTCTCGATGGGTAAGAGTGCTTGATCATGAAGGGGCATTCTTTCAGTATCTATTGAAATGATTCTATTTTCTTGACTGATAAGTCAGAAACAATATTCGCTGATTTTAACACTATCATTGTTTGTTTGTGTGTGTGTGTGTGTGTGTGTGTGTGTGTGTGTGTGTGTGCGTGTGAAATCTGTTACTAGGATCAATTTGCTAATGTTACATTAAGGATTTTTGCATCTTAAGGTGTACTGAACTATAATTTTCACTTATTGCAGGTCTAGCTTTAGTAGCAGGGTTACAATGTCCTAACAGAGGTGTCTCCTTCCCCTCTATTTCCCAGGACTTCTGCAGCAGCGGCACTATTTCTTCTTCCTTAAGCCTTTGCTAAGCATTATTTAAACCAAGGCTGGAGATTTTTCAAAGCTTAAATTGTATACTTCCTTTAAAAATATATATGTAGTTAGATTTTTAATTCATCCTCAATTAGTTGATAAACTGTGCTTTTCAAGGACTTTGTACATTTCATCTGAGCTACAGAATTTACTGTCATAAAGTTGTTCACAGTACCACCTTATTGCACTTTAAATGACTTTAGGCTGTAGTGTTATCTAGTCCATCATTCTTGACACTGGTAATCTAGATTTTCTCCTACTTTATCAGTGTTGCTGGGAGGTTATGGATAGTATTAATCTTTTAAAAATACTATTTTTATTTTATGTGTATGAGTATATTGCCTGCATGTAGGTAGATGCACCCATATCCTGCAAAGCCCATGGAGGTCAGAAGATGGCATCAGATCCCCTGGAACTGGAGATACAGATGGCTGTTAGTCGCCATGTGGGTCCTGGGAATTAAACTCGGGTCCTCTGCAAGAGCAGCCAGTGCTCTTAACAGCTGAGCCATCTCTCCAGCCCCTTATTAATCTTTCTTAAAGAATCAACTTCTAAGCTTGTTAGTGATAACTACTTTTGCTTATTTTATACTATTTCATTGATTTTTGGGGGGCCTTATTTCTATTAGACTACTTCTTTAACATACTTTAGGTTTATTTTATTCTCTTGAAGTTTCCGAAGGTACAAATATAGATTATTAATTTTAGTTAGGCCTTTAAAATTTGCTTTGGTAAACAACACAAATTTTGATATGCTATATTTTCAGTTCAACTTTCAGTTTCTATTTCCCCTTTGGTTCATGGTAACTTCAATGTTTACATTCCTGATACCTGAAGATTTTTCACTTATTAGTAGCCCTTAATAATGTAATTACAGACAGTCCCTAGTCTGTAAACAAGTGAGACTTGATTTTTAACAATCAAAGAAGGAATTTCTTCTGTCAGAGTTTATAACCCAACAAAATCATACTTTGAGATCACTATAGGGGATAAGCCTTGATACATTGAAAACACTTTTATTCATAGCAATCATTGGTAATGCTAAGCATTTAAATACATAAGAGGGTTTCATGAATGCTTTAATTCTCTAAAATTCTTGCAGTATACATTGGTTTAATTCCACTGTCATTAATATTATGAATAGTATATATTCTCTTTTTACTGTCTTCATGTTAATAGTTCCAAACCTAAAATGATCATATGGGTATTGATGAGCAACTTGCACAAAAACAAGTAACTGGTAAAGGGAAAAAAATCAGAATTTGTGCCCAGGTTTTTTTCCTGCAATAAAATATCACAGAAATATCACAAAATCAAATACTGATTTTTCTCTCAAAGATAATATACAAGATAGATGCAAATCACATGTTTCAGTGAAAAGTCAATTTCTATGTATTGACAAATTTGCCTTAGATTTGCATCAAGAGAACACAGCATCTGTGATCTAATCCAGTCCTGGTGTATTTCTTAGCTCTTCTCTTTACCAGATGGCCTACAAAACACCATTAGTGTATTTTAGTGATGACAGACACCCTGGACCACATCAGCTTCTTCCTCCTCTCAACTCCTGTTTCTAACTGCACTCAGTGACAGTCTGTACTTCTCTCCTGCTCGCAATTACCTTCAACATTAATTTTTATTTCTTCTCTATATACGTCTCTGGTGCATGGTGAATACATGGTAATCATTCAAACCGTTCATCAGGTTTGACCAACTAGTAGATGGAGCCCTAAAAGTAGCATCTGACCTTCTCTCCTACTTACACTTAGTTTAATTTTATCACCCATAAAGTCTTACTAATAAATTCTGAGACCAAAAAATGTTGTTACAGTGAATTATAGTTGTAATAGCCACACTGGTGGAAGGATTCTGAATTCCTCATTTCAGTATTTCTCCAAGTGCACTAGCAAATGAAGGAAATACTACAGATTTACTTGGGAAAAGGGAATTTCTCCTGACCACTGGTTTTCTTATATTCAGAGTGCTTATACACTCCAGCACTGGTTCAGGTAGTAGGAGTCTATCAGTAAACAACAAAATCACTTGTGTTGTTATTTCTTTGGGACCACAGAGAATTTAAAAATTAAGTAGTAAAATGGCGAAACAATGAAGGAAAGGGGAAGAAACTGAGGAGTGGTCAGACTTCACAGAGGAGGTCATAACTGAACAAAAACCTGAGATGAAGTGAATTAAGCTTTTGACTGGAGAAAGCATTCTGGTTCAACAGAAGTAGCACACGGGTCCTTGGCAGGGTAGTGCTTTGGAAGACAAGCAGCAGCACAGAAGTGACAGTGATGAACCAGAAAAGAACAGTAGTAGATGCAGCCAGAGAGCAATGACGGGTCAGAGAGAGCCCTAGGGACAGCAGTGATAATGTCGGTACAGTTTGGAGTCGGCAGGTGTCAAAGCATTTACAGACATATACCTTGAAAGCTGGGGGGGGGGGGGGGGTAAAAAGAGCCCAGTTAACGTTCTCAAGGGGGTTTTAAAGGCTCCAGGAAAAAATT